ATTCTTTTTTTTTGTTAGTGTGAACAGAGAACCCTCGCACACACAAGGAGAACATGCAAACTGATTTCGTTCCCCCCGGCGACTCAAACCAGTAACCCGTTTACTGTGACCATCTCAAAACCAGTCGGAGCAATTGTTGCAGTTGTTGTTGTAAAACTCCCGACCCAAAACCAATTCATCACTTGCCTCAATTCGTCCAACATAATCACTTGAAAAAGTATGAAAATTCTGGATAAGACATGAGTTTATAACAACGAGGAGTACAAATTGTCCATCCAATTTTTAGAATACACTTCTCCTTGGTCATGTGCTCATTATGGTTAACTAGCTGGGACATGGTTTGTCTGTCCAGAAACTTTGTGGCAGATATTTGGACAACAAAGACACAAGAATCCAATCAATTGCTGCCTTTTCAGATGCAGTTGATGTTAATACAGACATTACATACGTTGCTCCATATTCATTCGACTGTCATTGGCTGTCACCTCGGTCAGCAGATTGAAGACAGACGAGGATGCTTTGTGGAGACAAAGGGAAAACCAGTTGCAGAATGATACAGAATGGCTGCGTTAGATAGCATACTGCCTTCCCAACAGCTTTTGACTTCCTCCATTTACCTGCTCTGTCAGTCTCTGACAAGACTGAATTGGTATGGAGACTAAATAACAGCAACACTTTTGTGTTTTTTGATGAACTTTAGAGAGCTCTGACTGTTTTTAATGTGATGCACTGTGATTTTCATTCGAATTACAGCTTTTCCCCGGGGGCTGCATGGTGCAGTGGTGGTGAACACCGTTCTTTGTGGAGTTTTGCATGTTATCCCCATGTCCACGTCCATGTGGGTTCTCTTTGGGCAGTTCGCCTCCCTCCAACAGTCCACAAACAGGCAATCGATTAATCCATTATCTATTTTCTCGGACTCCTAACCCAGCCGCCATAGGGCAAAAGGCGGGTTACACCTTGGACAGGTCACCGGCCCATCACAGAAACAAACAACCATACGCAGAATCACATTTCCTCCTAGGGGCAATTTAGTTAGTGTTAAATTAACATAACATGGAAGTTTTCAAAACTTGGGAGGGACCAAAAACATGCATTTTAGAGTGAGTTTGTGTTGTTTTTAGTCTCTGTGTCCCCTTGGAGTGGTGACCTGTGCTGGGTGTAGACCACCTTTTGCCCAATGACAGCTGGGATGGGGTCCTACCCCTTGGAGCCCCCTATAAACGAGCAGCATGGACAATGAATGGATGAATAGTTTGCATACTTGGACACATTTCACCCACATGTTTGTAATAACTCATCTTTGAGAGCAAAGTTTTCTGTAATGACTATCAACCAAACTCCAGACTCAGTTATAAGCACTTAAATGACATTTTGAAATTGGCAGCAGATGTTGATTCAATTCAGAAGGACAAGATCTGCCAAGTTTCAGGAGGTACTTAAACAGTAAGTAGCCCATTTTCAAAATCCTGCTTTGGAGGATTTCCTTCCCGACTTGTGATTACACAACCTGTTTTTATTTTATTTAATATCCACATATTCAGCATAAATGATCAGGCTTCTGTTGCAAAATAATACTATAACCTTGTTGCCAAGTAAAAGCTTGCTGTTATATATATATATATATTTTTATGGAATGCTCCTACCAAGAAAACACCTTTTGTTTAGTAGTTTGTGTTGACACCATCATTATTAAACAGGAAGGCAACTGTTGGGCCGAATTAACCTGTGTCTAGTATAAACAGTTTAAGTTCTTATTGGAGTCATAATTATATTTATTGATGCTCACTGATGTGAAACTGCTCATCATTTATTTTCAAAGGGAAGTTTCACTGAATCTGAACAAAGAAAAAATGTGTCCGGTGCTTTTATTAATGAGCAATTATGTCACGATTTCTGTGATCATTCCTTCCTGAGAAAGAAATTATGTTGTATATGGCCTTTTGCTCAAATTAAGTTTGACAACCCTGACTTAACATAATTATGCTGGGTCACTTTGAGGAGTGTCTCTTTTATAGCTTTTTGAACTCAATTCAGAGATAGTCATTAGCACAGTAGAGATAAAAAATCACAACTAAGTAAAACTGAAGGGTAGTTAGCAAAACTTTGTATGGGTTACAGTTATAATATCCCTCTGCTGCGGTCCATCCTTGTATGACTCGAAATATACTGATGGATTCATCTGAATAAAACCTAGGTCCATTATTTTGAAAGATAAACCAAAAAGCACATGATCAAACATAACCGAGAATATTCAATCGTCAAATAAAATTTAATGAAACAACAGTACTTGATGACAGCTGATAAAAAAACAAACAAAAACAGCTCTCTCTGGGAATGAATAAATTTAACTGAAATGAATTAAACTGTATATGAGAGGCATTCATATGAAATACAGATACAGTATAGTTGTGCTTTCACGTATGTTAGTGTGTTCATACCTCCCCTACGCGCTTTCAGCAGATGATGGATATCCGGGCCATAGAAGTGCTGTGGAGTTCTCCTCTGAGCATCTCCATCTTTTCCTGGAGGAAAGGAAAGAGGGTGGGGACTGCTTACACATATTCCAGTTTTCAAATCATCATTTAACCTGCACAGCAATATATTACAAAACCTAACTTTCATTTAGTTACTTAACAAGTGATTGGCTTGTTCTCTTATTTATTCTCATTATTTTGATAAAGTATAGTTATTATTTTCATCTTCCATGACCAATATTTATATTTAGTTTGTTGGTGAGCTATAAAATAACTAAAATATCTGTGCTCTTTGGTACTCCACTCTCCAAACCCTTTATTGCGAAGGGGTGCAGATCACTTTTAGAATCATTTAGCGATGTTGTTGCCATGGAGTTTCAATTAATGGTTGCATCAAACATCAGAGCGAGAAGCCAGTGTGACCCATTAACAAATACTGGGTATCAATGTTCTCATCTAGCAGGTAATCGCATTAGCAACACTTTGGATAGAACAATGACACACCGAGCTGTCAACCAAACCTTTGACCAATGCAAATATTTTGATTGGATGAACTGATTTGAATGTTTTTTTCTTGTTTGAGTTTTTTTTGCAATTCAGTTACCACCTTCACATTGTGTCCAAACACAACAATTTTACTGTTGATTGATTCTATTACTTTGCTCTTGTTTTTCTCCTCCTCGGTCAGACAGTCGCTCGGCTAGCTCTTCCTGCAGCTGCTGCTGTTGTCGTGGAGACAGCCTCCAGAGTGCTTGACCCATCTGTGTGAAAAGCAGTCCAACATTAGGGGAGCACACCAGTGAGACCACGCCACAAAACAATATGCTACATGTGTCCATTGACCCAAATATAGCCCTTACATACACAACTTATGCATGGCTCATCATTAGTGGTATGATGTAAAAACTATTGGCCAGCTGTTTGGGCAGCAGCACATTTCCATAGATTCATACTTGTCAGTAAATTAGTAGTTGAGAAATGAAATAAATTTTACATGGACAAAACTTTTCTTGAGCGTTCTAGAATTACTTTTAACCTGAAAAACACAGACAAGTCCACAATACAGGAAACTGGACAATGACAATGACACTGCACACTGTTCGCGATGCTTGTGTTTTTGTCTAAAACAAAGACACATACAATAGAATATTTTTTAAATGTTTGTGTCATTTTAGGTAAAGTAGTTTCTGGTGGACAGAGTTAACTAAAAATATGAGTGCATGCTGGTAGTCGAAATGTGTGTTGACTTGAAGGCAGGCAATTCATTGCATTTTAATGTAAGATCTCATTCAGAATCACAATGTCTCGAGCTCTGATGAATAAGTCATTCATGTTTGTATTGAGTTAGTCTTGTAAATAACTGACCTGCGGCAGACATCCAATTACATGACCCTTTTTCTTCTATTCACACGCTAAATGAATTAGCCTCGTAGGTAAGTTGCCCTATCACAGCATACCAGTAGACATAACAGTATTACTGTAAAACTGTCAGCTTTTAATGCGGTACCCAGTCGTCCTTTCACTCTCGAACTTCCCAACGTCCACAGCGTTACATAAACAAATCCATAGCAATGTTGTAAACAGCGTCGATGGAAGTTTCAGCAAGCAAGGTGCGTTGATCCGTGGCCACGCCTTGTCTTCAATACTATTGGCTACCCATACCACGTGAACGCTCAAACTGGAACGTCATAGGCTCAGCTGGCTTTCACTCGTAACCTGCAACGAATCACACAGTTAACTTTCCAAGCCCATTTAACTTGACAAAAGAAAGGCTATTTGCTCGACTTTCGTGTAAAATAAACGAGGAACCCGTAATTTATAGTGCTTGTACAGAAATAAAGTTAGTAGTGATTATGATACGTCACCATTAACTCAAAATACTCACCTGGATTTAGAAATTCCGTCTGTTCACTTCACATGCGCACCAGGACGGCAGATATTCAGGTTTACAACAAATTAAAGTATGCCGTTGTCTTTCCCCGATTTAGGAGTTTTAAAAATAACATTCGTGGCAGGTTTTCAGCCGAGATCTGTTGCATAGCCTGTAGTAACAACTGTCATCTGTTTGTAGCCTCCTCCTCCTGTCAACATGGTCCCTCCCTCTTTTCTTGTCATCACCACGGGAGTGTGAAAAAAATAGAAAACCTGAATGTGCCAATATTAGTTTGTCATTTTTTGTCATAAGTTGATTACACCTAACGAAAAGGAAAGTATACAGAGTAAAAATAACAAGATGTCCACATATATACCACATATTCCTGAAAAGCAACTTAAAAGAAAAAAACACAAAACCAATTAAATTGACATTGAAAAGGATACAAATTTCTGACATTATCTATTCAGTGCCCAGCTGGAAAATATATTCAGTTTTTGATGGGCTCAGAACTAAGTTATTAATGATGCCCATTCAAAGAATACAAAAACAGGTTGGCCTATTATCTTATATTGCAACTTCATTAAGTAAAACAGAACAATTTGTCAATGGAACCAACAATATAAAAGAATCTCATTAGTTAAGACTAAAGCGCAAGAAAAATATACACTCACACAATAACTCACCGTTTTAAAACTCATTTTATGGCAATCTCATTTAATTGTTATGAAAGTTACACAACTTTCTGATGCAGGTTGCTTGTAACAAATTTATAAAGTTACAAAGAAAGTCCACAGAGAGATGAAAGTGCAATTTAAGTTTAAAAACACTTCCTATTACAGAAACCTGTGCTATAATAGAGATGTGAGTGTTTTTCAGGCTTTATTTGCAGGGGGTGTGGTAGAGGACTCAGGGTTCTTCAGGATACTAGAGGTGCTCTTCAGCCTGCAAACACAGACATACAAGAACCACTGAGTGTTTAACTGAGAAACAATATCATGTGAAAAGTACAAATACAAGCCCGACACTTTATTCAAAAAGGGTATACAAATGTATTTAAAAACAAGGAACAAAGACAATGGTAGGGAATTCTTAAAAACTATGGTGGAGGGGTTTGTGTGTCCTCTGTGATGATGAGACGAATGGAACTGGGGGCATTATTCCCTCATAGTGACTTTAATGGAAAATTGAGCTCAAATATAGGGCCAGACTCAAAGTAATTCAAAGAACTTGATGGAGCCACATCAGATAAAGACAGCAGGAAGCAACTTCCCTCCAGACCCACCACTCCAAAGGAAGGATATTCCACATTGGATACCTTGCGAGTTGGGTAGCAGGTTGGATGGGGACCTGATTGTGGTGATCCTCAATTTCTCCAGGATCACTCTTCAGATGTGGGAACATCACTTTACATGCAGGTAGAACTCAAGCTGGTGTGATAGGTGGAGGTATACCAACTAGATATAGCCGTCTCAGTTCGACCCAAAGAATGAAATTGCTGAGGGGTCAGTTTTCTTTTAGTCCGGAGTTGCCCAGAACTGGGTGTAGGAATATGTACAAGCCCTCAGATGAGCAACTCAGTCGGAGTTCCCACTAATGAGCAAGAGGGTAATTTTAACTGCAAATTGTAGGCCGGAATGTTCTGATGGGTTTTCATGCATGTGAACCAAATAGCAGTTAAGGGTCTATCCCAAGTTATCTGGATGCAGAATTGCTTAATTGAACCAAGTATATTGCTGCCTGAGAATGGGTTCTAATTTCAGGAAATCGGCTTTCTTAGTACTAGGTTGAGCATGTTTACAGTACTTGTTGGACATTACCAAGATTACTCCTAGTCACAGATATTTTTTTTGACAATTTTAATGGACAGGATCTCTCATTTCCACAATGGTGTAATTGTGGAAAGGAGAGTATCCGATTTGGGAACCTCAGGGCTCGCATTATTGTTTTTTTCTTTTGCAGATGATATAGTTCTGTTAGCGTCTTTAAGACCCTTTAATGCACGCTGGTACAGGTCAGGCTTGAGTGTGAAGCAGCTGTGATGGAAGCCAGCTCTTCCATATCTGAAACAATGGTCCCGAACTGGAACAGATCTCATTCATGAGCAATGGTAAGTTGGAGCGAGAGATGGACAAACGGGGCTTTGTCAGCATTAATGCGGGCACTGCTCCAGTCTGCTGTGGTAAACAGGGAGGTCAGCCAGAGGGTGGAAGCTCTCAATTTACTTGTCCATCTTTATTCCAAACCTCACCTATGGTCAAAGTATGAGGAGCTTGGCTAGTCGGAGAGAAGATGGAGTGAAGAAGTTGAAGAAGTTTCAAGCATTTGGTAAGGATAACTCCTGAATGCTTCAATTTCGAAGCTTCCAAGGCATGAGTAATTTCCTAAATTCAGTCTTCTTTTTGTTTTGTTTGGCTTTTACAATGTTATCGTCGAAGAAACATATATATAGAGCCAAAAGTGAATGACTAAAATTAAAACCTTACATGTTGGTGATCTTCTCTAGCCTGTCCTTCAGGTTGTCCTGGACAAAGAGACAGGAAAACTGGATGAGATAACAACTTAGAAGCATTGGACAAGGTATTTCCAGCCATCGTGTTGCTCAAGTACTCATTAATCAGTGTTATAGTTTCTGTTTGTTAAATGTAAAAATACTGTTGTTTAGTCCATTAAGAGGGCACAAAGTGGTTAAGGATTCCATTAACTAATGCTGAGAGTTGACAGTATGTTTGCAAAAAACAATGCATAACCTGTTTGTTTTTGTATTTTCAATTAATAAAAAAAGCATGTGCGAATAAGGATTTGGGGTCTTTCCATTAATTTTGTGCATGATGTGTTGAAATATCTTTTTTTTTTAAAGTAACCCAATCAGGACAGTGGTGATCAGCCATGTTACAAAGTGGAATGAGAAAATATAAATGTAGGCTTTTGATTGAAAACATTAATCATTATTTTCTACATCTGCTACAATCCTAATTTCTAACAAACTGGGGTATTCAACATAAAAAATGCTGACGGTGAGATATTTGACCATTTAATTAGAAATAATAGGAGAACCATTAGGAGTAACTTGCTGAAACTAACGGTTAATAAAAGTCATCAACACTCATATGCTTACATTAAACTGTAAAAAACAAACACAAAAAACTTGTGATAGATTGAAACTACTGTCACGTGATCAGCTGCACGATGCAATATCTTTCTAAGATTTTCCAAAGAAGTGGAAGATTTGGGAGGTTCACCTTTGAGGCATCAGAGATAGCGCTGGAAAAGTCAGAGGAGGAAGAGGACTGGCTTTCAAGTGAAACTCCAATCTACAGAGATTAAAAAAATAAAAAAGAATATTATGCTATTGTAAGATATAGCTATTAGAACCAGTCCCAGAACAGCTAAAATGATTGGTAACACAGTTTCTGAATATCCTGGTAAGTTAATTCAGGGTTCTTTGGGACATGGAGCAAGGGTCTGAAATCAGTAATTTCACATCTCCCCTATGGCGTCAGAATTACAGAAGGACAGTCAATGCTGTGTGTAAAGAATTTTACTATTAACTTAATAATTATCAGACATATCTGATGTGTTCCAACACATTCTTAATCCTTAATTCCACTCCAGTTTTCTCAGTAGATTTTAGAAGATAGATATCTCACCTAGTGACATAAAGTATAATATTTATTCAGTTAGATATATTTTTTCAAATCTAACCAATAACATGTATGACCACATGAATGAATGAATGAATTTCTTGTACAGTAAAATGGAATCCAACCTAATCAAGGAACCTAATTTTATACAAACTTAACAGAAAAAACTGACACAGCTTGCATGTGTACTGGAAAAAACTATTGCAAACTATATACGCATTCTACCATAATGGATAGATCATAGAAATACTATTTCTACGTTTTTTGTACGATTAACACATAAAAACATTTTTGTACTGAAAGGAAAAAAACTACCAAATTAGCTGCCCTGCTGTTCAGTACAGTTAGATTCTACATGTTACATTTTCAAAGGTCAGTTACCAATTACTTATGCATTTAAAAGATAATTATATATGTAAAGAAAAATGTGGATTACATTTCTCTGGAGAGAGCATTATGAATTAATCATTAGTTGCCAATACCGTCACAATGGAAGACATTTCTAAGCTTTTCATTTTCTTGTTCCTACCTTTGAATTGCTCAGTTCAAGTTTAGTTTCCAGTAATAAGACTCTGCTCATGAGGTTTTCCCAGCTCTCTCTGGATATGGTGACAACATCATTCTGGGATGAAAAATAGATACAAAAAGATACAAAATTAAATCTTATTGCTTTGTCAATTTTATGAAGTTGATGTATATTCATATTTTTCTGAAGCCTAACCAGTAAACATAAAAGTACATTAAGGCATTTCAGGAACAGGCAATGTTGTACCAACCTTTTGCGTGTTTCTACTCTTTTCGAGTTCCTCCATACGTTTTTCCAGAGTAAACAGCTTATTGAGTTGAGAGAAAACTGTCTCTATTTGAGCCTCAAGTGCTGAGAGTCTTTCTTCGATCTCTGATGACTGAAAGACAATAGGATTTTTACATATTGGTATGTGTTCCAGTTCTGAACAGATTCTCAGAACTAATTCATCTTCAAAAATCCCAATTCTACAGATAAGTGCTACTGTATTAGAATAACACTATAATACAATAATACACACATTATAACACGATAATTCATTATTACAGACTGACTCAATCTGTCTTCTTATTTCATAAACACAAAAAAAGAAAAAACACAAAAAAACCTTTTGCTCCTCTCCTTCCGGCAGCTTTGTGCTCAGATTTTCAGGCAAGTTGCTGGCAGTTGATTCAATATGGGAAGCACAGGTTACATTTTGTACTGCACATGTTTCTGCCAGGGATGGAGCAGCAAGAGTAGAACGATTCTTTTCCTTTGTCACCTGAAATACATAATGACTGTAAAAATAAATCATATGAATTTGCCTGTAACAGGAATACTAACTACAACCCACTATCAGTTCCTTTAAATCTTTTAGAATTTGCTCAGGACTATGAAACCTTTAAGACATTCTGGGTGAATACTAGATTTTTTTTAAACAATCACACACTGGTTTTCAAGATTTGATTAAAAAAATAGCATTTTGTGCTCTTGCTTTTGGAATACTTACAATGGCAGCTTTAATCTGGACTGGATGAGCAACCTTTCTGCCGTCATGGTGCGAAGCAGGAGATTTTCCACTGGACTAGAAAATACAAACATGCATGAAATTGAAAATGATTTGTACAATTTAGACATAAAAAACAATTGAATTAATAAGAGGGCTATTACTAACAATGACCTCATCATTGGGGGGTCATGCTCCACCTTCACACATGATCTAATCTGAATTTACATGTTGGCCAGAACACCATAAATACAATTTTTGACATAAAACTTGGTTTAAAACTCTAAAAGTAATGCTGGTCCCAACAAGTACTATTTTTTTCCCCTATAAACATGACAGAGCGGTAACAAATAGAAACAGAAACATACTTTATTAAAATAAATATGAAACATACAATTACACAACTAAACTCAAGCCATTTAATTTTTATTACTAAAAATGTATAAGTATGTATGTACATATATAGATGTACATATGTGTTCACAAGAAAAATGAATATATTATCAAAATGATTAAATTGTTGATTTTAATGTCTCATGTTAGTTGTCATCTGAGAATAATGAAACTAATTGTGTTAATTATGTTGTACTAATCATTACACTTGTCTAAAACACAATCCCAATGCAATGAATCACAACATTATTTCATAACTGCTGAGTTACATTGATTTATACTTCTCAAGTTCAAGTAAAGCCACCATGTAAATTCTTAGAATCTACAATTCAGGCTGAAGTCCATTAAAATATAATCAGATTGTGCGTGAACAATGACAAAGCATATACTCTACTACTGCAATCAATTCTTGTATTATTCTGTATACAAACTTACCATTACAAAGTGTTTCTGACTTTTAAAGACTATATATTTTCAATTTTTTAGGAAAACTGGCTTCATGCAAGTAATAATTTGGGGAAACTGTACCTTGATGAGTTGTTTGTGTTTTTGCTGGACCAAGGTAATAACGTCACAAATGAAAGAGATTTTCCTTTGCGAGAAACCCAGCTGGAGGAACTGCTGTTTGGTCAACACAGGCTTATAATGGAGGACATCTCGCAGCACCTGGACGCAAAACATAACCACTTAGTTGAAGAACAGACAAGAAATGGAGAGTAAACTTTGATGATGTACTTGTGTCCATATTAGAGTTATGTAACATTTTAGTTTTTCACATATAACAGTACAGATCTCTCTTCCACTCTTTGGATTCAAATCTTAAATGAAACCATTCAGATTTGACTAAGGTATAAACTCCAGATTTTAAATTACCTTTGAGAATTAATTAAAAATGAATCACTGATTTCACACCGACAAGCATAAGGTAACTGTGTGGTTTAGTAAAATACAGCACAGCTTTTCTGGTTTTACTTTGTTATGCAATCTTGGTTGTACCTCTGATTGTGATAGTTTTTTGACAAGTTTTTTGTAGAACTTCTACATACAAATTGAATTTGTTCCGGGACCTACTTATGTTTAATATAATGTATGTTAAAATATTTGTGCGTTGCTTCAAACATTCCCATAAGAATAAACTGTAATTCGTATAATTTGTTCCACATCTCAAAAACCTACGATAACTCCTTAATAAATACTGCAGATAACTACACATAGCAATAACAAAAATGCGTCATATAAGACAGATTTAAAAATAAATAATTGGTAAAAGCAGTTTTAATTTGCACTTATTGGCAAATGGAGGTGTTGGCTTGGCCATGCAAGTAGATAAGAAGTGGTGACTGAGATACAGTATGCACCGTAACTGACTAACTTTCACTACGTCAACTTTAAACTAACTTAGCTTATTTATTTTTAATTGAAATTTTTTTTTACGTCATGTTAGAAATTTACTTTGGGTGTCGAGTCGAACATTTGATTGCATTTCACTTCGGATGTTGGAAATTTCGTATGTTTGGGCAATCGTAAGTAGAGATTCTACTGTACCACTAAGCAACCAGAGCCAATACAATACATCACTGCAAAGTAGTGACAAAATTCTATTGTGCGAGTGTCAACATTTGTCTGCAGTACTACACAGAACGCCACTTTTCTTGCTCAACGAAGCTGTCTGAAAGTCGTACAATTTACGATATAAATTAGGGATGTGTCAAGTGTTTGCATAAATACATTATGTGCATACAGTCGCAGTCAGAATGATTCAGCTCCTGCTGCAAATTCAATGATTAAATAAAACAATAATTAATTCAAACAACTATAATGTCAGAATTATTGAACCACTTCATGGTAAACATCTTTGGTGTCAGTAAAGTGCATTTAAACTGTTCTATCTCAAGCACACTTGATGCATCCAGAGAAGGGTTTTATTTCTGTGCTTCACACCACTTGATTAAAAAATGTGTGTTCTTATGAAAAACCATTCAGGTCGTTGAATAATGTTGATACAGTGGTAGTCATTTTAATTTGAATCTGGTGTAGAATTTGAGTAACATTGGTATAATTGAGTTTTATTTAATCACTTGAAAACTGTTCTTATGTAATTTGTTTGTTGCAAACACCTGAACAATTTTGAACTCTGCCATTAATGCTAATTCGCAGTAGGGGTTGAAGAATTTGATTGCAACTGTAACGACTGGTTACATGATCACATGTACACCAGATTCAGTCAGTTCTGGAAATAAAGGGTTAGTATGGAAACAATAAATGACATTTTAGATTGACATCCAGACGAGACAATTGGACCAGTTCAATAAATGCATAAACCAGCCTCTCAACATTCTTTATTGACAAGCAGCTCATAATCTTAAAATATTTTTGAGTGTGTTTATTAGCAGAATAGAGTGAAAAAAGGGTTAAAATATCCATAAACATCTTTCATATTTTGGTTGGAATAATTTGCTTCTGGCAAATGTTTTGTATATCCTTTTATAAGTTTTGGATTATAGTTGACAGGAATTTTGTCCCATTCCTCATTAAAGAACTGCTAGTAGGCTCTGTAGTGCTGCTTTACCTTGTAAAAAGCATCAGTGAAGCGGAGGTCGGTTTTGCCAGTTAGCTCTATCCCATCTCCAATAAGCTGCTCAGCAAAGGGGGGAGAGTAGGAGGTGAGGGTGAAACTCACTATTGGCAAAAAGGCCGAGGGGTCACCCTTGGAAAGCCTGGGAGTGAAAACAACATTAAAAACATCATCAGTTGGAAATTTTGTCTAAATCTGAATGACCAGACAAACACAAAGACGTTCAGAAAATATTAATTCAGCAGAATCAGACAATTTTATGAAACATTTTAGGTGCTTAAAAAAAACATGATGGCATGAAGCACCAGTCCATCATCACAAATCCAAAGGTAACTTCAAGAAATTAGATTTATTTTTTTAAATACAAGAGCCAGTCCAGTGCTCTTCACTTTTATCTGACATAAAAACCTACATGCGGCCTGTGACAGGGTGAGACCACCGCTAATCTCACAAGGATCCAGCCAATCCACAATTAGCTAATGAAAAGACAACATTATTTTTTTGCCTCTGGCTGGAGTAGTTGACTGATATATCGGTTTAGCAGTTATGTTTATGTTATATTTATGCATTAGGCAGTAGATTTGAGTAGACACAATATTACATTTCTCATCACTATGACAATAAGCTATATAGAGGAGAAACACTGATCAGAGTCAGTGGTGAGATAGAGATAGAGGTAGAGGGACTACAGAAGGAGCTGTGGGGGGGTAGAGGTACGGGTTAGGGTTAGGATAGCTAAATCATTATTATCAATAGAATAATTTCACAAGATAAAAAAAATCTCTTACATATCTACAAATAGCTAAGGCTCATAGCTCACGGGAAAGAGGGACAACAGGTCAACTACAGTTAAATTGACATTTTCATCCAAATTCCCGACTACCACAGATCTTCAAGTTCTAAACACAGCTAAAGTCAAAGAAGCTGATCTCATGTGTGCTATGTTTGTATTTTATTAAATGAAAAATAAAGAGAAGGAAATCGTAATTCAGAAGAATCTTTTTTCCCCCCATAAAAAAACAGTAATGGTCATTACTGCCAGTGAGAGCCCATCCTCAACCTTTCTGTGTTGTAGTAGAACTGAAGAAGGCTCTTACTGAAAACGGCCACTAGAGCAATCAGAAACCACCAACACATGAAGGTCACCAAGTCATTGTGAAACAGACTAAACAGTGTAGTTTGAAACGAAATCACAACAGCAAAAAAATAAAAAATGAACCATAATCTATTTTATGATCTAAGATATATATAGTGCGAGCACGGTCGCCTGACAGCCAGAGGACCTTTCGGTGTTGTTCCTTTGTCTGTGTGGGTTCTCTCAAACTACCCCCCACTGTCCAAAAAACCTGCATGTTACGTTATCTAGAAGCTCCAAATTGCCTGGAAGAGTGAATGTGAGTGTGTGTGGTTGTTTGTCTCTGTGTGATCCCTCTTTCCCCATTGTTAGCTGGGATAGGCTCCAGCCCCCTGCGAACCCGTTGGGAATGAGCAGTATAGAAAATAGATGGATGGATGATCTAATATAATAACAAAGAAATCCTTGATCTAATGAGGCTTACTTAAAATATTACTTAAAATATTAATGTCTTACCCACTGTAGTCCATATGGCCTGGATACCTGATCACTCTCAGGAGAGATTCTAGTTTACGAAGACAACTCTGAACATCTCCAGTAGAAAGCATTTTTGCCTGTCAAGAATAGGAAGGGATTTGTTAGGTTCGGTATCAGATTTGAGAATATTTGTGTACATATGTACATACATACATATGTATACATAAGTCGAAGAAGATTCGTCTTTACGGAGAATTTAGTCTTAACATGATATGAGCTCAGCAATAGTTAAGAAGTAACCTGGAAAATATCTGAGGTTAACATTAAATCTGCCTAGTATACTTCAACAATATTAATCCCAAATGGTTAGCTATATCCCACTGCAAGAAAGAAACGATGACAGCGACATTAACGCTGTCTGTAATGACAAAACATCCCTAAAATTCCGATGTCATGAGTACATGGTAACATACTTGCACTCACGATGGATTATGACTCCAAAAAACTCGTGGGATATCTGTAAAAGTCACGGAACTGTGTTTTTCCTGTTCGTTGCAATTACTTTAGACTTTACCGGGTAGTCATCAGGACGTGGCGCGATTGGCTAGTAAACTGATGCGTGCTTACGTAATACGTAATTCTGCGCCCCGCCCACTCTTTGTTGTTCTTCTTCGTGGAATTTTAAAAGTGTTTTGCAACAACGTTTTACCCCCACCTGTGCAAAAGACGTTTTTAGAATCCTTAATGATACTGCGGTGAATTCAAGACATTTGTTCGTTATCTGACTCAGCATGTGAAAAACACATTTTTTTTCATGTATTGTATCAGTTAATTTTTGGTTGAAAATAAATAGTTGGTTTTCATAAAAAAA